ATCTCGTAAGAGAACAACGCTATTAAGGCTATCTGATGTACACTAGACGGGACAGCAGAGCTGATTATGCGGCAGAATCCGTTTAAACAATTATATAGGATTACGCAGAAAAAGTAAATGTGAAGTAAAGAACTGGAATGTTAACTATACGATATCGAGAAGGGGCACAACGGACAGGCTGCAACTATTCAAAGTTGTCCAAAAAATGGACAAACCCCTTCAATTACCGTCCCATCTCCCAATCTTGCCTGTGGTGGTGCCAACCATGGTCAGCCCTCAAAACTGGTGCTGAGGACGCACATGCGGCCCTAAATTATTAATTTTGGCACCAAAACTCTCGCGTACTCATAACTGAGACTTAGGCGTGCGCAAGAACTGAATTTGTATGCAGACAGAAGCAGTATTCTGAAATTTCAGCTTCCTAGCTTTTCTCGTTCTCAAGCAGTCACTCTAAAGTGTTAGTTAGATTTTGTTCCTCAATGCTCCGGTAGATTCTGCACCTACGAAATTCGCCAGGGGTAAAGGATGGGCTTAGTGCGGGTCTGGGAACTTATCAGGCAGTAGTAGTACAAAATAAGCAACATCCGCTGGGATGTATCGAAGTAACAAGCAAAAAGACATACGTCAACTTCATCTGCCTCATTCTCGTCACTCAAATTTGGTATTGCGATCGAGCCTTTGTATGGCATCTCTGATCCAGATACTTCAGCTGCAACGGTACAAGCCTCAAAATACTCCACAATCAATAAATCAGTGAAGTCAGAATTGTGTATGTGTGAAATAGAGGCATGTTTCGAGTAGATATTCCGGCCAAGGAGCAGCGTCTTCGCCTGAATGAAGGTGCGCCCATTGCTGGACGGATGCTGTATTGCTATTTTGCGAATTTTTTTTTTTTGAGTTTTTACACATTTTTTGAGGGAATCATACATCCTTCTAAGGCAACTGTGTGCTTCTCGAGGTGAATTTTGCATCATTTGAGTGGTTCATGCCCTTTTTTGTGCAATTTGCTCATCCGCTGAGTAATTTATGCATCAGTTCTGCGAATTTCTAAGCAGGTCGTATTGACGAATATTAAAAGTGATACCGAAAAACAGTGAGAAAAAGTAGAGAGTGAGGTGAAAAAAATTAACGTGGATATAATAAGTTTAAAATCGAGCAATGGCCAACTGAGGGACAACCGTGAAATATCCATCGTTTAAGCAGTTAACGTAAGTGCCACGAAGTTGGACGTACCTTCAAAATCTAACTTGATATTCCATTCAAAAAGGAAGATAAGCTTCGCCTTGCGATTGTTCGCTGTTGCTTCGCCCTCCAGTTTTGTGATTTCTTTGAAGATGAATGTTACTGGATCATGCTCGAATGTCTGGTTCTCCAGCAATTCTTTCAGGCGCTGCTGCGACCACGGTGTTGCATTCTTCTCCGACCTAGAGCATCATGCAACGAAATAAGGTAAAAATTAATAGTGAGGCGCACCAGGACAGCCGGTTCAACCATGCGCTTTATATAGTTACGTCCAGCTGACGTTTGTCGTTGAGAATTTTCATTGTTTTACACTTTGTTCTTTGCGGAACCAGAAAATTTCCTGCTGAAAATCTCACCGCTATGTGAAACGCAAGCGATGTACATGAAAGCTCAATCAAAACCTCCTAATCGCACATGGATGGGGAACATCTCTGCAAAATTTCAGCTCCCTAGTTTTTGGGCTTCCATTTTAATGAATTTCTTCTCGTGCCAAAACTTTCACGTGGCCGTACTTAAGACCGAAGCAAACATGGGACGCTTTTGGTGCTGCCCTGCAGCTGCTCTTCAAAGCGATCAACACATGCACAGGTAACCACGGACGGAGTTAGCAGAGACCGCGTGCAGCCAGGCGCCGTACACATTGACAACGGTTGCAGTGCTCGCCGTTAAATTGGTTGTAAATAAATGAGAAGTCGGGGCAACCACCAAATCAACTTCTTTATTGCTAAGCAAACACATGAAGCCCCCAGGCCTCGCCCCCTCCCGCGGTCTTTGTGAGAGACAAGATCACTCAGGAAGTAGCTGAGTGACGCTGCTAAATGCCAACAACACAACCAAATCACGACCAGGGCACCGATGTCTTTCCCTCTCGAGGTTGAGAGTAAACTGGTGGCGTGTTCAACCTCCTACCACGCGCCAGTACCAATTTACCGTCGAAACGAATCGCAGAAAGAATTCGGCGGAACCGAACGTTCGAGTTACTGCAAGACCACTATGCCCTTCAGTTGCTGATCATAAAAGTGCGACTGAAAAGCCATATTACCCGTTAAAAATTTCCACGGGCCCGTGCATGAAAATCGCACACATTTGGGGACTGAACTTGAAGTCACTACATTCTACGTAGACCAGGAACATTCTCCTAAAATCTCAGCTTTCTAGCTGTTCAGCTCTCCGAGTTAGCAATTTACCCGCAAAAAATTTTCACGGACCCCTACGTAGGGGCCATGCATACTCGAGGGCTGAGTTTGAACTCATTAAGACCTACGTGAACGAAAAAACATCCTCTGCCAAGCTGGTTGTAGCATACAAGTAACATAAAGAATATAAATGGGGCAGGCATAGCACGAACTAATACTATTACGCGAATCAATAAAACGCCCCTGTAGCATCAAAGCTTTTCCTCGCAGTTACCCCCATGCGATTCAGAGCAGACAACAACGAGGGACGCCTCCGAGTACTTCCGAATGCAGTGAACAAAGGCTTACTTACCAGTGCCAGTTGTTGACATTGACCGCATCCGGACGCTCCTCCACGATCCAGCGCGGATCCCCCTCACCCCACCTGGCCATCTGTAAGCAGCCGCACAACAACTACCGCAACAACAGAAATGAGTACTCACAGCTCCCGAAAATTTGCAATTACAAGAACTCGGCTCGGCTCGGCCGCCACCGGGAGACACTCCCTCACTTCTCTGCTAACGCTATTTTGAGGCGCCACTTGTCGGCACCGCCTGGCAAGATGCCAGCGGACGCTGGGCAACGTTCTCCGAGCACTGCCCGGCGTTGGACGGGTTGATGATGTGATCGGAGGGTGGCAGGTTATTCGTGCCCATATAGTGCTCCCGGAGGCAGGAACTGTAAACAGGATAGAGAAGGGGAATTAGCGTACCAGTCAGAAATCGGGGGTGAAAAATGGATATAGTAGTAAACAGGAAAGACAACATAGCACTACAAAGAAAAGTAAATTAAAGCAAATCTGACCTTATGAAAAAAAAAAAAAAAAAAGCGAAAAAGAGCGAAGTCAAAGAACTGGAATTTACAAGTAAAAGAAGAAAGTAAAAGTATGAGCAAAAAGAACTGAGCCTATGCAAGTAGTAATTGTCTCACAAAAACCGTTATCACTCTGCGCCACCTTTGCGATCAACCACATCGCACAAATTGCGTGTTTCTCGTCTGTCAACTTCGAGCCAGCACCTAGTCCGGGTTTACAAGTTTGCAGGACAAATAGGACTGGTATCGGATCACCCGCTACAACCGGCATTCAGTGCTAGCGAACGCGCTAGAGCTGGTGCTCTGCGAGCCAAAGTATCTGAAGTGTCCAGTTTCCGGTAGGAAGTAGGAACCTCGCTCTGACATCATACCGGATCCAGCGGATCCAACAAAGTCGGCCAGCCCTGCAGGGAACCGAAGTGAAATGCAGCTTCATTCGACCAGAATAGAGGCTCATTATGAGTCCTCTTAATCCATATGCAGGGGGCACTACCCCAAAATTTCAACCTCCCAGCTTTCGTGGCTCCCGAGGTAGCAGTCCTCCCGCCGGAACTTTCGTGGAGTTGTCTGTGATACGCCGGGTATATGAGGGCTGAATTTAAGTTCACGTGGACGTCCACTCGCCTCTGCCACCCCCGGTTGCTGGCAGATTTCCCATTCTCGCTCTCCTTTACAGCTCGCTCGGACAGTCAGGACCATGCAAGATGTACTGCTACTAACGGTCCCTTTTGCAGTTCCTCCCGCAATGGCGATCGGTTGCTGACCACTTGTACCTAAGTCCTCCCTGTACATGGCCCTGTAATGATGGACCACAGATTGTTTTAATATGCATCCCAGATAACTGAACAAACTCGCTCGCACGGCTTTCCACGTATTACATTCGGCAATTGCCCACTTATCCATTCGTCACAATTCAACCCGCGGCGGCGACCTCCCCTCGTCCTCCAATTGCTCTTTACTCGCTCGCTTTTACGGGTTACTATAAAAAGCTGGAACACGAATGCGCGGTTAGCAGTCGAGTGTCCCGGCTTGTTAGTTGCTGCTCCCTGCAAGCTGAAGTCATGGCCTCGACAGCGTTCTTACTAAAATTTCAACTTCCTAGCTTTTATGGTTCACGAGTTAGCAACTTACCCGGCAAAAATTTTCACAGGAAATGGCCAGCAAGCAGTAGCCATCGGCCTAGAACGGTACGACCTTCTGCTTGTAAATTTCGCTAAAATTACACGGAAACATGCTCAAAGATGCTAAGCTGTGCCAGAGAATAAGTGATTGCAGAGGCGCAAATGACCGCTAGTATGGCCACTAAGAGAATATGTCCAGTGTGCGGAAAATTATGTGCTTGCATTCAAGAGTTTTATTTTGTTTGTTTTTAAAACAAAAAGGGAACATATCACAACATATCAGTGGTGAAATAATTAAAAAAAAAAGAACAAATGCAAACAGTGTAAAAAAAAAAAAACTCAAATACAATAATAAAAAACATATAAATCGGAGAAATCACACGGAGGTTGA